ACTGGGCAGCACAGCAGCGCGTACGTGATGGAGTCCTTCGACGTTACCGTCCTTTATACAAAAGTGTCGAATGACTCCGCAATGCAAGCCATATTCGAACTCCTACAACACGCAAGAGAAACTAACATGTATGGCTTCAAGATAGAGCAGTTGATGGAGCTCTTAAAAGAATGCTATATAGATGACTGTTTTGTCCTTTGCTCAACACAAGAGGAAATGGACAAGTGTTTCGAGCTGCTGAATAAACAGTCAGAGTATATCAAGTTCACCAGAGAGAAACCGGAAGAAAAATGGCTTCCATTCCTGAACATCCAAATTAACCTATCAGAAAATGGCTACATTACGAAGTGGTACCGAAAGCCATGTAGTAAAAACATCTTGGCTCATTACCTCTCTTCTCACCCCTCTCACACGAAAAAGCGCTTATAAGAAACATGTTTCGAACAGCAACCAACGTGTGCACGGGAAGAGAGCAGAGAGAGGAATCCCGGAACTTGGCGCGGCAAATAGCCATTTCCAATGGCTACGAAACTGTAGCTCGGGATAGGTGTAGAGGAAATCGGAGGCCTCCAAACGATAACTCTAGCGACAAAAAAGTCCCGTTTATCCTACCATTCATCTCAAATGATGTAAGTGCAGCTATAAAGCGCTGCTTAAGAAGGGCGGGTCTAGAAAATTCGATAAACGTAGTTGAAATGCCATCGAGTAATCTTAGGCGCCAACAAGTTCGCAACCGACTATATGACAGTCTATGTGCAACGCAAAACCGCATGAACACATCGCGCTTCCGTGTGAATTCTGTGGGGTTGGTCTTCACGCGTCATACTCAGTGGAAGACTCATAGAAAGCGGTGAGTGTGCACAGCTGTGTTCACTGTGATTGAAATCTTGGTTTAGCGTTTTCTCTGTTTGGTTATGAAGGTGTTTGGCCGAATAGGTTGCTGTCAACGTGACCTTTCCCGGCTCTGAGGAGGGCGAAATCCGCCGAAACGTCAGCTTTTACGTGAGCGGGGAAGTGGAATAGCACCTCGCGTTTGCTGAACAGAAGTGGAAAGAATTATCTCAGCACCATTGTAACCTCAATTTCTGAAAACACGTTAGGACAAGGCAGTACTCAAATTTACTTCACTCCTTTTATTCCGACACGATTTTACAAGGTATAGAAAGAACTATAGGAAAGAAATGAACACCAGGTGACAATCCTCCAGCATTAATGAAATGACATTTACACAGAACTGTGACGTCACAACAGTAGATGTAAGTGTACAAGAATAAGGAATCAAAAAAAAACTAATTAATATCTTTGTTAGCCTCTTCATCACTTTGTACCAATTTATGAGGAGCGCTGCTATATGAACACTGATGTATCTCGAGTTGGTTCATTAACAAATTGGGATAAAATGTTTGAGATCCTCATAACAAGTTGTTGCCAAATTCTAACAACTCAAAAGCAGGTTTTAAATTTTAAATATAAGAATTAAACGGCTATATATATGAATACAAGAAGAAAATTCGAGATTAATGTTTATTCAATCTTCTTACAAGGAGAATATTCGCGCCATCTACTTTTTCCAAGAGATCGACCTTCTCAACTACACTACTTTTAGATAAAATCGTATTTTAGTTCAAAATTAAGGAACAACTCTATACTTCTACATATTGGTAAATCCTCTAAAAGCTAATCTTCACCGGCCTCTATTGACGAGGTAGCCAGTAATAATTTATTGTAATATCCTGATTACTGGTTAGTACAACTGCCATAAAGAAATTTATATAGCGCTTCTTTAGTGCAATTCTGGTTGAGTTCAAGGATCAATGCTAGCACAACGTGGGCTTTTATCACAAGAGAGAAGTAGTGCACGAGCTGCTGAACCACCGACGATGTGGTCCTTTGCCGAGGCGGGACAGCGAGATGGGGACGTAGACCTACAGCGGCCCCAACTCTTTACGCAGCTCTCACTATGTGCTTGTTCGTTCCTTATTCTAGAATGTGACGATTGATATAGAAAAAGAAAGGCTAATCAGAATAAAAAAAACACCACCTAAAAGTGGGGACGCAAGAACACACCTCATTGGCGTTCTAAAGACCGTCGTTGATACTCGTTTAGGAACTGCCAGTCGCTCTATCAAGGTGTGGAGTTCCTTCCTCGACAGCCTCCGAGAAGAGGAGAGCCCATGTGCTGTGGAAGCTGTCTATAAATCTATCTTAAATGCAAAAAATCCTAACAACTGCACTGAATCATTGATGGCCTTCTTCTCTTCGTTGAAAAACCGTCAAGACCAGTACGTATAGCAATAACTAAATCAGGAAGAAATAAGTTTTCTTTGTGACAAGAGCGACTTCGTCAATTCTCGACGGGATAATAGGTTGGTAAAATATCTGTGTGCTAAAAGAGGACTTGTACACATTCTTACAATAAGTCTGATATAATGCAATAACTGTGGTAGCCTGTAACTTCGAAATCAATTATCGAGCAGCATTCAGATTTCCAAATTTTCAAACTAATAAAGAGAATTTAAATGCTTCTGTTTTAAAGAATGAAAAAGTTCCTTCTTAAGCTGACGCGAGATTGGTACAGGTGTTCGTTGTCGTTGTCGTTGTTTTTGATGTTGTTGATCGATGTCTGACGTTTCGGCGACTTCACTTTCCTCAGAACCGTGATGTTACGTGTGAGTCCCACACGTCATCCATCGATCGATAACATCAAAAACAACGACAACGACAACGAAGATCTGTACCAACCTCGCGTCAGCTTAAGAGGATCAGTTTATAAGATCACATAAATAAATATATCAACTATCTATGCTGAGGTTTATAGAAAGTCGATCTTTCGAGTTATGAAAAAGTTCCATCTGAAGCTTAGGAAACTAGGCAGAGAGCCTATAAATTCCATATTTTACTTACTTACTCGGATACTTGAATGGCCCGTCTTCACTAGTTGTGCGCGCCCCAGCTTAGTCACCACTTTGTGGGATTTTTGCTTTGCCGGTTTAGAAACTGTGGTTCTCTGGAGTTCCGAGGTGAGCCAGGCCAAAGTCTGCCCCAGGTCGCCACCACCACGGACAGTCGCAGCCTTTGTGGATCAGAGGGAGATCTACCACCATACGACTAGTTTGGTACTATGACGGCGGTGGATCCTGGTATTAGTTTGGGAAAAAATTCAGAAAATTAATCAGAGGAGGTCGAAAAGTCCATATCGCTCTAGCGATGTGCACAACTCTTTTAAAATGCTAGTTAAATTTAATTGTAATTCGAATTCCAGAAAAGTGAAAGACGGAAAACAATTGGTTAAGGTTTTAAAAAGGAATTTCAAAAACGAATCGTACCCGTTTTAATTTCAAGTCACCGACATTTTGAGGAACTTTCTGGTGAAAACGAAATTCCTTAAAGGCCGTGAGAGGTCGATGAGTAGGAGTAGAACCCTAGAGTAACACATTTTTAATACAAGGATAAATTTCTCCAAACAGAAAACTTAAAATTTCGATTAAATGTTAGAAGATTGCTTAAAAACCGAAAACTCATGAATGAAAACTTGAAATGAAATCGAAATTGAATGAAAAACAGAAAACGGAAAAAATGAAAACGAAGCTAAATATTGTTCAAAACAGAAAAGTCGACAAATAGATACCGTAGGAATGGGATAGCGTCGCAACTCTGTGCGGAATCCACGCAACGGTGTACCATCTCCACGTCCTCTTTTTACAGGAGTAATAAGTATTACTGAAGAACGTGGATGGGGTGGCCCATGGTTAGCTCTACGCTGCGCAGAGGGTTGTACCGCAACGCCCTGGAAATGTACAGGCTCTTCTCATGTGAGAGATTTCCAGCCGATTAGTTGTAGCGCTACATGGCCTTTCAAGTTAATACACTGGAAATAAACATAGATGAAAAGCCAACATTTAGTTCCACTAACACGCAGGAGAACACAGAGTGGGCGCGTGGTCTCTGGTGAGCCAATTTAACTCATATTTGCTTGGGATCGAACACGCTAATAGTCTTTCTGGAGACGGTCACCACCAAACCATGTAGATCGTTCGTTTCGCCTTTCTCTCAGCTAATTTTCTACCTACCAGAGCATAGTTTTCTACCCACTAGTGCATAGAAAGCTAGCTGAGAGTAAGACGAAACCAAGAACCCGTATGGTATCGTGGTGAACGCGTTGCACCTCTGAAAAGGGGTGTTCGATCTCCACCGCAAAAACTTGCGGTCCGCAGTTTTGCAATTATCTCAGCATCGTTGGTGGTTATACACATATAATTATCTTCCCAACGGTTTACCGCTTCATAGAGGGCAGGAAGCGTTCCTGAGTGTCGGGCTACGATGTACAGCAGGAGGATTCCCCCGCAAAAGTCTTGATACCAACCTAGTAACATGGTAACAGATCCCTCTCTGATTTACAAGGGTGGCCACTACATGTGATAACGACGACCTTTGTGATAGTGATGGCTGGTAGACGTCGGCACGCCAGGGAAACAGTGGCCAGACCGGTAAAAGTCCGGAAAAATAAAAATTGTGTTGGAGCCCGCGCAACCAGTGAAGATGAGCCATTCAAGTGCCCAATTTAGTTATACCCAGGCTTATATCCCTGCATATGTTTTATAGCATAAGGATTCCAACAAATAAAACCCAAGTGCGATTCTTTGGATAAAGGTGTACAACCAGCTGGCCACATTCCTCGCGCCCTCTAGAGTTATTGGATTACTAATGGAACTGCAGACAATATATACTTCATATTATAATAAAAAATGTTGCGCGTTCGAAAATATGTTATATATTTGTGAACAGCAGTCATTAGAGAGCTATGAAATCTAATATTTGAAAGATCGAATAAATAATATTTTACCCTTGCAGCAGAACTTTGCTGTGTAGAAAGTTGGTTAACAGGAGCCAGCAGTCTACTATCATGCTCTGGTTCTACAAGACCAGCAGTATGTTCTTCGTTACGCGCCGGCTTTGTCATGTTAGGACGAGGAATAAGACGATTGGCACTTGGTGATCGAGCCATTAACTGAACCGTTCTTTTGTCGTTCGTGCGACGTTTACTGTTTGGATGTCGTGTCGGAGAACGTGCAGTTTTCAACAGACGGTCAAGTGCACGAGTGGCACTGGACGAACTGGTGTCGGAGTGATAGCTGCTGGAAGCCACAGGATCACTACCAGATACGCGACATGCACTACAAACTCGGCGCTTCGTGGTGCTATTCATCGGCCCACGAATAGTTTGATTATCCCTCGAAGCATCTGAAATTCATTTTAGTCAATTTTTACCACTTCATTTATAAAGCATTTGTGAGAACAACTCATGCCATATATATATATATATATAT